ACCAGATATACAGCCAATGAAATAATAAGAGTTACCAGATATACAGCCAATGAAATAATAAGTTACCAGATATATAGCCAATGAAATAATAAGAGTTACCAGATATACAGCCAATGAAATAATAAGAGTTACCAGATATACAGCCAATGAAATAATAAGAGTTACCAGATATACAGCCAATGAAATAATAAGAGTTACCAGATATACAGCCAATGAAATAATAAGAGTTACCAGATATACAGCCATTGAAATAATAAGAGTTACCAGATATACAGCCAATGAAATAATAAGAGTTACCAGATATACAGCCAATGAAATAATAAGAGTTACCAGATATACAGCCATTGAAATAATAAGAGTTACCAGATTACAGCCAATGAAATAATAATAGTTACCAGATATACAGCCAATGAAATAATTGCAGTTGGAGTGAGGTAGGATATACATATTTTCTGTGATTAACAATGAATAACTGTCAGCTATATGTTACACTTTCAGATCAGATGAAAATCGAGTTTAAAATTGGTTCAGTTTTATTTGTGTGATTTAGATTTTCAACATAGCTTTAACAGTTTTAGTCATTTTGCTATGATGTCTGCATTGTGGCAGTTTATAAAGATGGACAGGGGCATCATGCTGTTGACATGTTGCACCCAGTAACGTACTTCTGACACCAGGCTGATATCATGTTCCACCCAGTCACATTTTTTGACAATAGACTGATACCATGTTCCACCCAGTCTTAATATTCTGACACCAGACTGATACCATTTTCCACCCAGTCACATTATTCTGACAATAGACTGATACCATGTTTCACCCAGTCACATTAGTCTGACACCAGACTGATACCATGTCCCACCCAGTCTCATTATTCTGGCACTAGACTGACAGTTTCTAACACTAATCTCTTAATGCTTAGAGCCAGGCAAGGCAGCTACTAGTTCCATTTTTATAAATCTTTGGTATGACTTGGCTGGGTTTTAACACAAAGTCTCTCACATCTGAGGCAGACATTCTGACCACTTATGGCCACTGAAGCAGCAAATTGCATCATATTGTTTATTGTATGCCAAGAACATGTTGATGCAATGTGTTGTGGCCTGAACATTAAATATTTTTAGTCAAGGACATGGACTCCAATTGATCAATACTTTCATGAGTCAAACATGCCTTACTAGTGTCTAGGTAAAGGACTGTTAAAGAAAGGATGGACGTATCATGTGGCATTCATTGTACCTTTGTTTATAGACATTTGAAGGTTTTTATGCCAAGAGGATTAGACTGCATCTAATTGTTCCAAATCTATTTTTTGTTGCCTTTTACAGCCCATAGCCCAGACAACTCCTTTATGGGTTTTGTGGTGGAACAGCATTTGAATGACAGTCTAGTCAATGAAATTCCACGGAAGAACCAAGGCCTTGTGTATGGAAAAAATGAATACATGTGGCAGGTCAGTAGTGATTCTTATAAAAACCTTGCTAAAAAGTTTACATTTTGCACCTGGAAAAATGGGGATTTCCAGGCAAGAAAGCATCAGATTATTAGATCTTTATGGAAGGACATGTAAGATGGCTTCTCCTTTTCAGGGGTACATTATTACTACTGATTCAACCAGATGTAATAGAGGAACAGTTTGTGCCTGGACAAAGGCTCCAACCTGGAATCACCATAACTCGAGACAGACACTCTTACACTTCAGTTTTCTAGGTTAATATACCCAGTGCAACCAGTTAAACTTTCTTCCAGCTTTTTTACAAATAAATGTTCCTGCCTGAGAATTAACACACACACCCATATGCAGGCTGGCTGACTGGCAGGCAGACACTCACACATGTAAACACACACAAGCATGCATGCATCCACCCATGCCTGAATACCTACCTACCAACCTACTTACCTATGCATGTGTCCATTCCTACCTATCTAGACACATATGCATACATACATACCTGAGACAATGGTGATAATGGAGATATATGGGCTGATTTTGTACCTACATCTCCCTTTTTGGAAGTACCTTAATCCTACTGCCACCAGAAATTTCAGAGATGAAATATTAATGACTGGACTGTGGATTGACCCATTACATCTATATCATTCACTTTGTTGTAGATATCTTCATTTTGTTATATACCATTATCCATCCCTGTATATCCTGTTCCATCACATTTCTTCTGTCTTATCTTAAACTTCATTTCTATTCACTAACTTTTGAAGCACTCTCTAGATTTAAAAAAATGAATAAGTAAATTTACTTTGAGGCTTCACATTAGGAATATCAAAATCAAGTTCAGTTTTCATGATTATCTGACCTAATATAACAGAGTTATGGCCCTTGCTTGATTAAGCTTTCGCAATTCACTTGCCTCATAAAGGCAGAAATATTCCTGCCATATGGACACATTTCTAGCTATTTATTTGGCTATACATAGTAGTGGAGACCAAATAATATATGCCATTCACAGCATTGTCATCATATTTGATTTCTGTAGGCAAGATAAGGGAGTAAAAGTTTTGTTTTACTTTCACTCTTGTCAGATGTATGTATTATTTCCTTACAGAACTTAAACTGTTTCTCAGATAATTATTAACCATCCCATGGGATTGTAGGTCATAGTTACCTAGTTTTTGCTCAAATATTTGCTATTAATTTAGCCCCCAGTGTAAAAGCTCTTCCTTTCAGGCAAATCACTAGCTATAGGTGATGTATTTCCATGGAACCTGGTTAGAGTCTTTTTTGTGTTACTTAGAACCACACCTGGGATTTATAGGGGATTTATAGATCACAGTGATCTACATTTTTTGAAATTACTGTTAATGGAAGTAAACACATTGCCACTTTGCCGATATTTATATATCTATCTACAGTTTGTTTAGGCTTGGTTCAAAGTCTTTTATTTACACATATTTTTTAAAATCCTTGATTGATTCTCATCTTTCTGGAAGTGAATCATTACAAAACTAAGTCAGTTCATTCCTTGATATATCAACACACCTCATACTTTACGGTCAAAGTTCCAGTCATAGAAAATATGACATATCCACACACCTGTTGCAGAAAATATGACATATCCACACACCTGTTGCAGAAAATATGACATATCCACACACCTGTTGCAGAAAATATGACATATCCACACACCTGTTGCAGAAAATATGACATATCCACACACCTCTTATACCTTTGGGTCAAAATCCCTGTCATTTAAAATTTACTTGAAGGCATTGGTTTGAGTTATTCAGTTGTTATTAATTCCTGAACTCCAGTACTAGGTTCTCATCTTACTTGGAAAAAAATGTTAAAAAACTAAGGCAATTCATTGTACACCATACTTCCTTCCCCTATAACCTTGGACTCGAGGTAACAGTCATAGAAAATTTGCACACAGGTTTTGTTAATGTTTTTTTATTTTGCTTACATTTCTTCAACCCTTGATGAATTTTCTTTGTACTTGGGATAAATCAGCATCTAACCAAGGTATTTTCCTCTTTTACCTTGAGCTAAAAGCCATGGAACAAGCAGGTCAGATTGGTTTTTGCATCAGTACGTCCTATTTTTTGAGGTTCTAGGTCACAATGGTGTGCCTTTCTTAGCTTAAATTTAATGATTGGTGCAGACAGATTTATTTCACTATTAAAGTGTGGACTTCCTGGCAGTCACAATCAGTAGGAATGCTAATTACACAGAAGATAGTTTATTTCTTGCATCAGTCGAATTTTGTCTTTGGATGAGATCTTCAGTAAGTATGCTGTAATCATACAACTTATTCAGTGTGTTTATTTTAACATTCTGAACCACCCCAGGTGAATGCTGACCCTTAAGGATATTGGGAAGAATCCCTCCATTGTATCAGCAACCAAGAAACGTAGGGTGCTTTATTAGCACTATGGAGTTGTATCACTGGTTATGACATTTCAGCTTCTTGGTCACCACAAACAACACACTGCTCATGGTGTACCTCAGATATTTGAGATGGGTGACTCAAGCCTTATATCTTTGTAACTCCCTCCAGTGGGCAGCGTGAGAATTCTCACTCAGTAAAGTGAAATATTATGGTGGACAGTTACTAATCATAGAGTAAAAAATGAGGGCACATGAAAGAAATTTTAGCATAAACTGAATATGTTTCTCTGGATGGGTTTGAGTCTTGGGTTTGGCCAATGTGTGTATGTGAGAAAGCTTGCTAGTAACTTCTCATGGGTCATTGGTTCTTTCCGGAGTTTTCCCAGGTTCTTCCTCCACCATTTATACTGGCCATCATGTGTAGTCTATCTTTTGCTGAAAAATGGCATTAAACCCTTAACAGCAATTACACCAAGAGCAACAACTTTCCCTTCAGACAGGATGTGCAAGTTTAAGATGAGACCAATAATAGAAAGTTGTAAAGAAATAATACAGATTTTATTGCATTGACATTGTTAGTCGTTTGTTGCATATATATTATGTTAGTTAAAAAATAGTGTCTAAATACATGACTTGATGCTTTGATAGATACATTTGCCTCATGACAAATACATTGGTGCCACTACTACCAACAAGTGGTATGTTTCAAATGATGTTTTTAATATAATGTTAACAGAATTCTTCATTGCATTGTAATGAACTATGACATAATTAGCATTGCCATAGGGCAGTGTTAGAAGCTAATGCTACAGTGATCCATTGTGACAAAACAGTTTGCCATAAGGCAGTGTTAGAGGTTCTTGATACAGTAATGCAATCTGACATGTAGTTAGCATTGCCATATAGAAATTTAAAAGCAGCTAATGCTACACCAATGTACTGTGATATAACAGTTAGCACTGCCATATAGCAGTGTTAGAGGCTAATCCTACAGTAATGTACTGTGATGTAGCAGATAGCACTGCCATATAGCAGTGTTAGAGGCTAAATTTACAGTAATGTGCTGTGATGTGACATCACTGCCACATAGATGTGCTAAAGGCTAATAATTCAGTAATGCAATCTGACATAACAGTTAGCACTTCCACATACCGCTTTGGTGGCCTAGTGGTTAGAGCATCCACCTCAGATGCCAGAGGTTGTGGGTTCAATCCCTGGCTGAGACATACAAAGGCTTATAAAAAAATGGTACTAACAGCTGCCTCGCTTGGTGCTCAGCACTAAGATGTTAGGACTGACCAGCCTGGTGTCGGGATAATGTGACTGGGTGGGATATCATGCTACATGTCTGCAGCATGATGCCCCAGTGATAGACATCACTATAAACTGCCTCACTACAGACATCATAGCAATATAACTTAAAAATTGTTAAAGCTATGTTCAAAATCCAAGTATCACACACACACACACTTTTACATAATGCTACATTAATGTACTGTGATGTAACAGTTAGATCTGTCACATAGTGTTAAAGGCTATTGGTACATTAAGTCCTTAATGCTGTTTGATAAAAAGCATATTTAGCTCATGTTGATATACATGATACAGTAATATCATATTACATATATTTAAAATATTTCATATAAAACATATTAACCTTTGAAATATTAGATCTTTTATAGCTAGAAATCATTTTTTCTCTCCATTTAGGCCAAAACCCAGTACCTAGACATTATTAACAAGTCTCTAGAAGTCCACGCTACAGTCTATATGAATGAAAAGTCAGATAAAGATACAAACACAGCCGGTACCAATATCCCAAGCTATGTGATCAATCATGGCTTCCTTAATGGCGAAGATCTTCACACTCTTCTCAGGCAGTCTAAGGTTTGTATGTCTTTGTATCTTCCATAACTTTTCTCTAATTTTAAAAAACAAAACAAATTATTAATCCAAATCACATCACATCACATAGATAGTATAAGTAGTACATGACTCCCAAACAGTTCTACAGTATTGCATTGACATGTAGTTCTATAGTAGGTATGTGTATTACAGGACTCCAAACCAGCATTCCAAACAGTAAAGTACTACACGACTTCCGATCAATTGTATGTACAGCATGAATACTAAAAGACTCCAAACCATTTTTTAAAGGCAGTATGAGTACTCAACTAGTTTTCCAGGTTGCATTAGTGCTACACAACTCAGTTTTTTTTATAGAGAGCATGAGTGCTACTTGATAGCAAAACAGTTCTATAGACATTATGAGTGCTACTTGATGACAAAAGAGTTCTATAGACATTATGAGTGCTACTTGATAGCAAAACAGTTCTATAGACATTATAAGTGCTACATGATACCAAAACAGTTCTATAGACATTGAGTGCTACTTGATACCAAAACAGTTCTACAGACATTATGAATGCTACTTGATAACTAAATATTTCTATAGACATTATGAGTGCTACTTGATAGCAAAACAGTTCTATAGACATTGAGTGCTACTTGATACCAAAACAGTTCTACAGACATTATGAGCGCTACTTGATACCAAAAGAGTTGTATAGCCATTATGAGTGATACTTGATAGCAAAACTGTTCTACAGACATCATAACATTTCTATAGATATTATGAGTGCTTCTTGATTCCAAAACAGTTCTATAGACATTATGAGTGCTACTTGATACCAAAACAGTTCTATAGACATTATGAGTGCTACTTGATACCTAAATATTTCTATAGACATTATGAGTGCTACTTGATAGCAAAACAGTTCTATAGACATTATGAGTGCTACTTGATACCCAAATATTTCTATAGACATTATGAGTGCTACTTGATAGCAAAACAGTTCTCTAGACATTATGAGTGCTACTTGATACCTAAATATTTCTATAGACATTATGAGTGCTACTTGATAGCAAAACAGTTCTATAGACATTATGAGTGCTACTTGATACCTAAATTTTTCTATAGACATTATGAGTGTTACTTGATAGCAAAACAGTTCTATAGACATTGAGTGCTACTTGATACCAAAACAGTTCTACAGACATTATGAGCGCTACTTGATACCAAAAGAGTTGTATAGACATTATGAGTGATACTTGATAGCAAAACCGTTCTACAGACATCATGAGTGCTACTTGATACCAAAACATTTCTATAGATATTATGAGTGCTTCTTGATTCCAAAACAGTTCTATAGACATTATGAGTGCTACTTGATACCAAAACAGTTCTATAGACATTATGAGTGCTACTTGATACCTAAATATTTCTATAGACATTATGAGTGCTACTTGATAGCAAAACAGTTCTATAGACATTATGAGTGCTACTTGATACCTAAATATTTCTATAGACATTATGAGTGCTACTTGATAGCAAAATAGTTCTATAGACATTATGAGTGCTACTTGATACCTAAATATTTCTATAGACATTATGAGTGCTACTTGATAGCAAAACAGTTCTATAGACATTATGAGTGCTACTTGATACCCAAATATTTCTATAGACATTATGAGTGCTACTTGATAGCAAAACAGTTCTCTAGACATTATGAGTGCTACTTGATACCTAAATATTTCTATAGACATTATGAGTGCTACTTGATAGCAAAACAGTTCTATAGACATTATGAGTGCTACTTGATACCTAAATATTTCTATAGACATTATGAATACTACTTGATAGTAAAACAGTTCTTTAGACATTATGAATACTACTTGATAGCAAAACATTTCTATAGACATTATGAGTGCTACTTGATACCAAAGCAGTTCTTTAGACATTATGAATACTACTTGATAGTAAAACAGTTCTTTAGACATTATGAATACTACTTGATACCAAAACATTTCTATAGACATTTTGAGTGCTACTTGATACTAAAACAGTTCTCTAGACATTATGAATACTACTTGATAGTAAAACAGTTCTTTAGACATTATGAATACTACTTGATAGCAAAACATTTCTATAGACATTATGAGTGCTACTTGATACCAAAACAGTTCTATAGACATTATGAGTGCTACTTGATACCAAAACAGTTCTTTAGACATTATTAATACTACTTGATAGTAAAACAGTTCTTTAGACATTATGAATACTACTTGATAGCAAAACATTTCTATAGACATTATGAGTGCTACTTGATACCAAAACAGTTCTTTAGACATTATGAATACTACTTGATAGTAAAACAGTTCTTTAGACATTATGAATACTACTTGATACCAAAACATTTCTATAGACATTATGAGTGATCCTTGATTGCAAAAAAGTTTTATAGCCATTATGAGTGCTACTTGATACCAAAACAGTTCTCTAGACAGTATGATTATTGCAATAAACCAAGTTTGCTATCATTGTTATAGACAGTATAAGTTCTACAGGAATCTGAACTGGTTCTACAGATAATGAGCACTACAGAACGTATAACAAGTCCTACAGATGGTTTGAGTACTACAGGACTCTCAGCCATTTCTACAGATAGCATGAGTAATACAGGACTCACAGCCATTTATACAGACAGTATGATTATTGCAGTTTGCTGTTATTTCTACAGACAGTATTGGTACCACAGGACTCTTAGTCTTTTGTACAGATGGTATGAGTAGTACATGACCCTCAGTCATTTCTACAGGCAGTATGATTACTGCATGACTCTTAGTCATTCCTACAGACAATATGAGTACTACAAACTCCCATCTAGTTCTACAATGAGCACTGCAGATCTGCCAGTTCTAAAATAGTATGAGTGCAACAGGACTCTCAGTCATTTCTACAGGCAGTATGATTACTGCATGACTCTTAGCCATTCCTGCAGACAATATGAGTACTACAAGACTCCATCTAGTTCTACAATGAGCACTGCAGATCTGCCAGTTCTAAAATAGTATGAGTGCAACAGGACTCTCAGTCAGTTCTACAGGCAGTATGATTACTGCATGATTCTTAGTCATTCCTGCAGACAATATGAGTACTACAAACTCCCATCTAGTTCTACAATGAGCACTGCAGATCTGCCAGTTCTAAAATAGTATGAGTGCAACAGGACTCTCAGTCATTTCTACAGGCAGTATGATTACTGCGGGACTCTTAGTAATTCCTGCAGACAATATGAGTACTACAAGACTCCATCTAGTTCTACAATGAGCACTGCAGATCTGCCAGTTCTAAAATAGTATGAGTGCAACAGGACTCTCAGTCATTTCTACAGGCAGTATGATTACTGCAGGACTCTTAGTCATTCCTGCAGACAATATGAGTACTACAAGACTCCATCTAGTTCTACAATGAGCACTGCAGATCTGCCAGTTCTAAAATAGTATGAGTGCAACAGGACTCTCAGTCAGTTCTACAGGCAGTATGATTACTGCAGGACTCTTAGTAATTTATACAGGCAGCATGAGTACTGCAGGACTCCAATTTGGTTCTACAGACAGTATGATTACTATAGAACTCCTAGCCAGTTCTGCAGACAACATATTATAACACTTTCCAATCAAATATAGCTGTGCCATTTATTACTGTAGAATACATTAATAAAATCATGTATGTGTGATGAAAATCCTTGTGACATACTATCTTATACCAATTAACAATGCCATATATCAGCCTCAATTACTAATGTAGCAGACCATAATGTTACATAATACATAGTCACAAGTAAGAAATAAAAATCGTTTGACACCGTAGTATAACACACAACAATTCTACTTAGCAATATCATTTAGTATTGCAGAAGAGATAATCATTAATATAATTTTGTTAAGATACAAAAAAAATTATTTGACATACCATTTGATAGCACTTAGCCATGCCATACAGCAACCTCATTTAGAACTGCAAAAGATTTTAATGTTTTGTAATAAATTGAATCATAAATGTGAGATAAAAGTCATTTGGCACACTGCCATAACACATGGAATAGCATATATTAGCAGCATTTGATACTGCAAAAGACTATGCAATAAACAGACTCTTGGTAATTTGATTGAAATGTAATAAACCAGATCTCACACAGAATTAAATATGCCATTTTTTGTAATCAATTCATGACAAATACTGTTATTCAACTTATTTCATTATTTTTGTAACAAATGAATGTTTGTGTAAGATCCCTTACTATAGGTGCTTTCAGTATAAGACCATTTCTTTTATGAATTGAATATATGTGTTCATCCCACTGGATCATGTAATAGTGAAAGTATGTAACTGGATGATATACCTCATCATAAGGCACATGCTATGTGGCTAGCATTGCAGTGAGAATTATGTGCTAATATTATGCACACACAAATTTAGCCATTAACAGATTTACCCATCAAATATTGCTCATTTTTTTTTACAGCCAATTAAATTAAGGGCAGAGTTTTCAAAAGGTGATTTAGTACTCATGTTGATTGCCATTAAACATTACGTTTCAGTTAAGTCTTTTTTTGTTGAGAAGGCAAAATGCTAAATGTGAGGGACATTGAAACAAAATAGCTGAGCTGGCATTATATCTTTGATGAGAGAGGAGTGGTATAAAATAAAATATTTTCTTGAAGGATTGAACTCTACAAAAATTTTTGAAGGTAAATTTGGGGGGGTCCTTAATAAATTATGGAAGAAATTATTCCATTTGTTTTTAGTGCTTGAAGTTGCCTTTCAAACTTAGTTTTAAAAAAATTTCAGATATATTGCTACGATGTCTGCAGTGTGGTAGTTTTTAGTGATGTCTAGCCCTGGGGCATCATGCCGCAGACATGTAGCATGATATCCCACTCAGTCATGTTATCTTGAAACCAGGCTGACCAGTCCTAACACTAACCTCTTAATGCTGAGTGCCAAGTGAGACAGCTATTAGTACCATTTTTGTAAGTCTTTGGTATGACTCGACCTGGGATCGAACCAGCGTCCTCCCGCATCCAAGGAGGATGCTTTAACCACTAGGCCACCAGAGTGGTTTCTGTTTCACTTGTAAATGAAAGACAAAGATATAAAATTAATTTCACATCATTTATACACTTTATGTTTTCTACTTAGACACAAAAAATGCATTTAATTGTGTACTTTGTAGAAACTTCTTTCTATACAGATGCCTTAAATATAGTGTGAACTTCGTTCTATGCAGATATCTTAATATACTGTGTGGACTTCTTTTTATACAGATGCTTAAAATATATTGTATAGACTTCCTTCTGTTCAGATGCCTTATAAATTTCTGTATGAATTTCTATAAAGATGCATAAAATTTGTGTATTGTATGAACTTATAGACAGATTGCTAAAATATATTGTATAAACTTCTTTCTATACAGATGCTTTAAAATATATTGTAATGACTTCTTTCTATACAGATATATAAAATATATTGTATAAATTTTGCTTTGTGCACCAAATGTTGTATTCTCCTTTTCAGATTTTTGTAGGGTTAGGATTTCCCTATGAGGGACCTGCCCCTTTGGAAGCTATAGCCAATGGTGCTGTGTTTCTGAACCCTAAATTCAACCCTCCACACAACCGCAACAACAATGCCTTCTTCAAAGGGAAACCTACAGAACGCGAGGTATTATTGGATGATGTCTTGGCCTGAAAGACTTGTTATCTTTCATACAAATTTAACTGTCAGTGCATTTAATAGTACTTTTAACTTTTAATTAAGTGTATAAAATCAAACATTTGGCCAAATGTATCAATGTGTACACAGTATACAAAAACTTAAATGATGCCATTTATAAAATTGATTTAAAATTCATCCATTCATCTGATCTGCATCTCGGGCATTAAGCTGACATCTTTTATCTATATATGCCTTTCTCAACTTGTGATTATTTCATTTGCTTTGTCTTTTTCTTATTATGGCATTTGTTAAATATTTCTTTTTTGTCAAGTTAGGTAAAATATTATTCCCCTTGTTGTTGTTGTAGGGTTTAACACCATATTGCAGCACAAGATAGGTTGTACATGGTGGCCAGTATAAATGGTAGAGAAAGAATCCAGGAAAACCCCAGAAAGAATGACAGCCCATGAGAAGCTGCTGGCAAGCTTTCTCACATACCCACATTGACTGAAACCAAGACTCGAATCCCTGTAGAGGTGAAATGGCAGTGATCTGTAACATTGACCACTCCACCACTCAGGGTCCCCACTCTTTTTGAGTCATAGTCATGTTTAGCCAAGCCTAGGTAAGATCATGCCCATCTTTGCTAGCCAAGTCTAGGTAGGATCATGCCCATTTTTGCTAACCAAGCCTAGGTAGGATCATGCCCATCTTTGTAAGCCAGCCTTAGGTAGGACCATGCCCATCTTTGCTAGCCAAGCCTAGGTAGGACCCTGTCCATCTTTGTAAGCCAACCCTGGGTAGGACCATGCCCATCTTTGTTAGCCAAGCCTAGATAGGACCATTCCCATCTTTGCTAGCCATGCCTAGGTAGGACCATGCCCATCTTTGCTAGCCAAGCCTAGGTAGGACCCTGTCCATCTTTGTAAGCCAACCCTGGGTAGGACCATGCCCATCTTTGTTAGCCAAGCCTAGATAGGACCATTCCCATCTTTGCTAGCCATGCCTAGGTAGGACCATGCCCATCTTTGCTAGCCAAGCCTAGGTAGGACCATTCCCATTTTTCAATCCAAGGTTCAGATTTGTTAATTCTACACCTTGGCAGAATGAGCAGATATTTCTGTTCTTCAGGTCTGAATTTTGAACAGTTCCAACATTATCAAGACAAAGTGAGCACACAACTTGAATGTACTCATAAATAAGCATTTTTCCACTGCTGATCTGTGTTTGTACAAATACCTTTTAATGAAATACACTTTTTAATGGCTTATCATACTTTTATTGTTTAACTTAAAAAGTATCTTTATGAAATTAATTGCCTCCACAATTTTCAGCCAATATACAATGCACCGCTGTTACAGGTTAATGGCTAGTTTGCATTACTGCGTGTGGCAACTCCTGCAATCCAATAAATGCTGAGAGGAGAAAGCACTAAAATATCTGACTGATCCACCAAGGTGTAGATAGGGTTAACGTGTCGGAACCTTGGATAGCAAAGATGGAGCTATGCCATATTATTTATTTAGTCCACGAGACTTGATATGACAGCCGAAGCACACAGAATTTCCTTCCATTTTTGTACTGGAATCCATTGAAAATCTTCTTTCGTCCTAATAATTTTGCATCATGCTTCTATGCTGTTATGTGATCTGTAGAGAAGTACTAAAATTGAAGGTTTGTGCAATTTGTTTCCTAAATGGATTATGATTTTGTGATAGAGAATGACAAAGAAATTTCCATTTGTTCAGATGTTCTGGAAATATCATCAGTACAAGACATTTTAACATATTATATGCTGTTTAATTGGCACCACTGGAAAGTATTTCAGAGAAGGACAGCTGTATAAACCTTTTTTACCTAATACTTGTAATGGAGGACAGATTTATAAGCTTCCTTGACTGATATTTGTTGTGTTAAAGGATCATTGTGTAAAACATCCTTGCATAATAAATATTGTAGTGAAGGACTATTTTATAAAACTTTCTTGGCTGATACTAATTACTTTCAAGGACCATTGTATAAAACTTCCTTGGGTTACACTTGTTGTAGTGAAGGACCATCGTACACAACTTCCTTGGCTGATACTTTTTGTAGTGAATGACTATTGTACAAAAATTCCTTGGCTATTACTTTTTCTAGTGAAGGACCATTGTGTAAAACTTCCTTGGCTAATATTTGCTTTCATGAAGGACCATTGTATAAAACTTACTTGGCTAAGACTTGTTTTAATTAAGGACCGTTGTGTATAATTTCCTTGGTGAATATTTATGGTAATGAAGGACCATTGTATCAGACTTCCTTGGCAAATACTTATGTAGTGAAGGACCATGATTGTATCAAACTTCCTTGGCTAAAAGACCATTGTGTAAAACTGCCTTGGCTAATACTTGCTGTAGGAAGGACCATTGTATGAAACTTCCTTCACTCTTCTTGCTTTATTGAAATACTATTATGTAACATTTCCTAGACTAGTACTTGTTTCAGTGAAGGACTAATGTATAAAAGACAGCTTTGTGACATTTGTTGACATAAACAATTGGTACTGAATGGAGCTTGAAAATTTAAGTGACATATAATAATAACCATATAAAAAACAGGCATGCACATGATCCAGTTAAACCAGGCTCATGTGTAATTCCCATTTGTAAGGTTAATTGGCTACTGGTGATGCCTCAATCTCTGAACATGTACAAAGAATAAAATTATATGCAGTGTATTGAATAACACTAAAGATTACTATTATTCCAATATGTTTCATCATCAAATGGGTACTTGTATAAGATTTTCTTTTATCATGTAGGTTACAAGTCAGCATCCATATGCAGAACAGTTCATTGGAGAACCGTATGTGTACACTATTGACATAGGAAATGAAGAGCAAGTCAGGAGCACAGTACAGAAAATACTGGATTTAGACATGGTTTGTTTTGTTGCTTTCAAGTATATACATATATATACTCATGCAACATCATAGGTACCAAAGTATGCAATTTGCACAGGGGTGGGGTTTTTTTTTCATGCTGACTTTCACTTTAAAGTTCATACAAGAATATAACATTTTATGCTTTCATTATTCCCTCTTAATAGAGTCCCTCACTATACTACAGTATATACTTGGATATAAGTCATCAAAATGCATACAGCAATGATTATGATCTGTCAAAGTATAATGCACCTGCAGATACGAGTCTGTTATTTATATGACTAATTGCTACTAACTGTGCAGACCCAGATCTGCTGGCACATTATGCAATGGCAGATCTGGGTATATGCAGTTTGCAGTTGGACACTACTTGTACCGACCTGCCAACACTTGCAAGTTTGCGGCAGGTCATACAAAAATGACCCTTAAAACACAGATTTAATAAAAGCAAGAACTATGCAAAAATTATTGTTGCTAAAAGGTCTGAATATTTGGATCAGTCATGTTTGGTTTGGATCTGAGGTTCAAATTAGAATTAGTGGAATTAGTCTGGAAACCAGACTAACTTTACAGTAGTAAGTCAGATGTTTTTCACTGCATTTTTTTCTTCATGCAAATTATCAACAAGATCAAACATTGATCAGAGAATTTGTTAAAAATGGCATCCAGCAAGCAATGCATGTTGAAGGCAAAAATGGAAATAAAGCCTCCAAAAAAGGTGTTAATAATCAGCACAGAAGAATTAAAAGGAATGTTCAGATTTTTCTGTACCAAAGCAGGAAGGTGCACAATGATGGTTAAGGGACATCATGTGTGAATTTGAGTATGACTTGCGGCAGGAGATATGATTGCCATCATACTATGAAATGGGGAAAAAATTTCCAAGAATTACATTAAGTTGAGAGATAGCATCAGCCCATAGAGCTGTGTAGTGTTTAGGACTGAAGTTTGTGCTACTGTACTACTGGTAAATAAGGTCTGTCTGTACTTAAAAAACTTTTCAGTTTTATATAATGTTTATCTTCGCTGCATCTCTCAAATACCGAACTTTTAAATGTTTTCTAGATTAATAATAGTGGTGTAGGATGTTTTGTTACACCTTACTGAAAACTGATCAAACTTATGGGAAAAAAATTATCTGCCTTACTGAAACAGTCTTGTCAGGATTGGCACATCTGCTTATAAGCGAGTATATATGGTACTGCCCCTTGATAATGCAGGTATGATCAACGATCCATATACAGTGGTGCTTCTCATTAAAAGCCCTATGTGTACTACTGCTGCAGTATAAGGCAGGTATGGTCATCGATCATAGTAAATTGTTTTAATTCTGTTTTATCATTGCTGCTTGAATTATCCAACTTCAGTTCAGATGTTCACCAAAGGGTATGAATTATAATGCAATCTTTTTATATAAAATATTGTTTTGTGCTGTAAGCAGAGTTTTGACACAGACTTGTCATAACATCCTGCAAAATAA